TCATTTTTGGGTTTCTAGCAGAAGGCATCCCTTCTCTGCGCTCTGCAGCCACTGATGAAGGTACCTCAAGGGGGGGGGGGGGGGTGAGTGGCGCGGCAGATGCGTCCTCATATCGCCATGACGATAATGAAGCTCTTTGTTCAGCTGTGTGAATGTGAAGTGTGGAATCTCCGATGATCTCACCATTTCCTATTTCTTCTATACTTACCTGAATACACCAAGTATTGCAGCTTTTTAATGCATATGCAAACCACTAAAATGTCCTTTTGTGAGACACTCTGCTAAAAGACCGCTTTTGATATGTGTTCTTCATCTCCTCTGCAAACTGCATTCGACTGCTTCCTTCTTTTTGACACACAACTAACTCACTATTTAGACTCTTTGGCTTTGATTTTGTAGAACAGCCCAACAGGAAGAGACCATGTTCTCTTTTTTCCTTCATATTTCTGAAGGCAAACTTGTACTGATTTGTTTTGATTTACTAACAGAATTATGTTCCCACCGCAGACACTGGCTTCCTTTATGTCCTTTCAGTCATCAGTCTATGTCTGTGGACAAAGTTTTCCCAAGGAAAACTGAAATCCCTCTGTTGGGAACAGCGTGCAGGGCTGTGGGTGTGTGCTACAGCAACAAAGCTCATCGGGTTTGGGGAAGAGTGATTATTCTCTACAAGCAGAACATTTCTTGTATGCCAACCACTAAGCTTGAACCATCAGACCAGGTGACATTTTAAAGGCATATTCAATAAAACTTAGCATACAGTTGGGTGTTTTTTTTGGGGGGGGGGCAGGGGGAGGGAGTGAATGTAAAAGGTCACATGCTCTAAAATGTAAGCACTTTATTTTCTTTGATTGAACAAACTATCTTCTTAGGAGTCAGTAGTATTTTGACTAAAAGCCAAAGAGACACTCATGGTTCTCTTAATTGTCAATGAGCAGGGCTGGTACAGCTCAACTGGGAGAGAATTTCAGTCTTCTTTGTTCATCTCTGCTGTATTCTTCTCCCAAGCAGAAGGTCATCTCTGTCCACCGAAGAGCACAGTTTGTAAGTCTCAGGTACCTTCACCTTGGAGGATAGGGTGACACTAAGTAGCTTGGTTTTCCTTAGGGCATTAAGAGACAAAGCAACCAGTTACACTCTAGACTAATAAGGAACATATTCTTGTGTGGTAGCAGAGGGATGCTCAGTCATGTCTGGACCATTCAGATGTGAAAACTGAAGAGAGGCTATTTAAAAATTTCAAGATCCTTAAATAAAAATTCATTCTTATCGCATACCCTTAAAGACCTAACTCCAGAGAAGTTACCTTGTGATCAGTGAATTCAGTTGAAGGACACACAGGCTACTCCACCCAAAAATTTTGGACAGCAAAAAGGAAACTTTGGAATAAACCAAAAAGAAGCTATTGTGTGTTAGGAGTACTTAGACCATATCTCATGGGTGTGAAGGTAAAAATATCCACATGTCTATTCCTCTCCGTCTGTTTCCTTCCCTCGATGGTTTGAATTTACTCCTGGGCTCAATAGCTTGATGAGTGTCTCTCTCTTTTCTAGGGACAATTAACTATTTTTAAGGACTTCATGTCAAATAACTGACATTGTGCTTTATTCTGGTTTTCCCCCACAAAAGGGGTGTTATGAAATTGAAAGATATTTTTTCATTTCTCTGTGTTATATTAACTTAAAACTTGAAAATAAAAACAACATCCACTGGATTAAAGAGAATCAAAAAAAGTTTTTGTGTGTTTTTCAAGTTCTCTAATTTATTACTCACTAAAAATCTCTTTCAAACTGGCACCAAGGTGGCTTTTCTTCTTGAGCTGATTAGGACCACATGAGCTCAGGAAAAGCTGTCAGATCCTGCCTCTGGCGCAGCTGGAATGATCCAACTGATTTGCCAGTATGATTTTTTTTTTTCAAGAAATAAGCTTCATTGCAAAGTCATAAATTTGTATTCTGGAGACCCAAGCAAAAATTATTCCTTGTTCATTTTAAAAGAAGTAAAATTCCATTGTGACTTCTTTTATGAGACCTCCTGAAAAACAACTTGGGCACTGACTTTGGTCAACTTTTTCATGCTTTAGTGGTAGCTAATTTCATACCCTGTCAGTAGTTATCTAGATTCCTAATGATGCATGGGGGTCTCATTCACAAAACACTAATCTTCAATACAGACTTGTGACCATGCTAAAATGTTTACCCTTTAAGAGTTCTGTTTATCAGACTAGCCCAGGGAAAATGTGGGTTAGACTATACTTGTCTTCTTCAATGGCTTGAGGTGGGCTCTGAAACCTGCTTCTTGATTGATATTCACCAAGGTAACTGAGGGGCAATCAGGTAGCTCCCTGACTCCCTAAGAAACCCCTTGCCCTTCGATCCTTTTACAGCCACCTCCTTACATCAAAACTCACCTGTCCTGCCACTCCTTCATTCAGGTCTCCTCTCTGCTAGATGGCCCCAGCCTGGGTTTGATAAGGAAGGCTGTGTGCATGCATTCATGGGCCCTAATAAATTAGTATTTGTCTTCTCAGAAAACACAGATGCATTTAAGCACACTGAGTCATCCTGCCTTATCTCTAAAAGGTGACACCATATCAGCCCGTTAGCAAATAAGCATTTCATCCCCCTTTACAGCACATACCTGAAAACCACCAGGGAGGCAGATGTTTTGCAGGATATCCATTTCACAGTTGAGATTTTGCTTGTCTGCTTGCTTTGAGTAAGAGTAAGTATCATTAGGAAAGAGGGCAGGGGTATCTTTATGTGGATTCACAAATTCTAATTTGATTTTACAATCTCTTTATTCTTTTGCCTTTGTCTATACTCTGTATTCTGGGGATACTAAGGGTTTTTGTTGTTCTTCTTGTTATTGTTGTTGTTTTGTTTTGTTTTTAAGTTTTGCCTGCCTGCTTTTGGTCAAATTCCAGTCCAGAATTCCCAACCAGACTTAGCTGACCTGACCACCATCTCAATGTTTTCTTCATGTGATTCTCAAAAGGAGTTTCTTAGTTTCTTTGCCTTTGTATTAAAAAAAAAAAAATACTAGAACCATTTGGAATTACCCTTTTTTCCAGATACAAAGCAGATAGAAATATACCACCAACCACTGTTTGGAATGCTATAAGTTTTCTCTGTGAAAAGAGTGGACAGAATTACATAACCCATCATTCCTCGATTAATAGTTAACCAGGTTGAGAGGCTCTGAATAAAAGCACATCTTGTTGCATGCAACAATGGTTTGACAGAAGAGCTGTACAGCACAGTTAGTATTTTACTGCTTTCAGCTTCACCACGCAGTTTTGTAGCCTGGGAAGCCATGCATGCAGAATGGCAGAACTTACAATTGCCTACAAAAGTAGAGTATTGCTACCTGTGGAGCCTTGACACCAAGGGAAGGTGACAGTTCCGGACCTTAGAAATACCCTAAACTGTGTGGTAATTTCAGAATGGAATTTACCACAAATGAAATACTCATAAGTGAGCCTTTTTCAACAGTGCCAACATAATTATTAAACTTTACAACCATGCATTTAGTGTATTGGGGGAAAAAAGGGGGAGAGGAGAAGAAAACATGAAAGCAAGTATATTCATAGATGTAACAAGAGGAGGTTTGAATTGAGACCACTCTCAGAAGCAGGAGAGTGGCTCAGGACATGATGGGAAGAGTTTCTACAGCCTGAGACACGGCTCTTTTCCAAAGTGATTCCCCTTTACCCATCCACCCCCCTCAAAAAAAAAATCAAAATGTACTTCATGAAACTATTGTATATGAAGCACTTATTAGCCGTAATTAAATGGACAATATGAATTTACTACGTCTTTAGGACTCTGGCTTGTTCTGGTTTAGAGCAAGATGATTAATGCAAATACATATTACTTGAGATAACCATTTAGCAGCTAATTTAGCCAAATTTATTACAGCAGTTAGAGGTTTTTCATTTTAGCAGACGGAGACAAGGACATGCCAAAAGTGAGCCACGTAGACGAGTGCACACTGCCCTCTAGTGGCCAGCCGGCTGGTGAGCTTTGGGGGGGGCGCCGTGTTGCCGCGGTCCGTATCCAAGTCATAACAGCAGTTTTTGCACATTTCCGGCATCCTTTTAAACCATTCCCATCCATAGCACTTTATTTCAAAGGATGATTTACTGCACTTTCCCCTTTTACTAGCTCAGGAGTACCCAGATACAAATCAAATCAATTTCAACTTGGCAAGATTTTGGTTAAAGTATCATTTTTAACATCTGCATTTTAAAGCTCCCTTTCAGTGGGTATTTAATGGCACCATTTCACATTAGTGATTGTTTTTACTTGTTCCTTCATTTTGGGCCATATTTCAGAGTCTGTGTGGAGCTGTCACTCTGTTTGGCTCTAGCCAAGTCAATTCTGTGCCTCCCTTAGGCCAATGTTTTTCTCTGACTCCGCTGGGGATTTATTTTGTTCCAACCTTCAGGGGTCTCACCAGAATTTCCCCTTACTGAACCAATGTAAATTTAGTTCATCCAAGGACTATAAATGCTGTTAGGTGTAGAAGGATGCCAGTTGATACTGCTTGCACTGAGGGCAAAGGCAGAGGGGTAAAACGGCTTTGGAACCAAATCTCCAGAACCTCAAAAGAGCGCTATCTTGAAGCTATGAATAAATCACATACAAATTTGCCTTCTTACCATTTGACATCAAACCCATTGACAATATCCACACCACATTAGGTATTCTTCGAGCCAAAAAGATTTGTGGTCCTTTTATGCTTCCTTTCACACCATGGCTGCCCCGAATGGAATAGAGTCTTGCTACTAATGCCAGTAACCCTGGCTCCAGAGCTGCCGCTCCACTGAATTGTTGATTTCATTTGTCCTACTAATGGGATCCTACATTAAGTACACAGAGGAGCACCCCTGGCTTGGTACAGGACCTTGTGTTTTGAGACTTAAGATTTTGTAGGAATGAAAAATCATTTTGTCCCAGTCTTAATATGATGCCTCTGTCTTGCTTTTTCACCCCCAGTGCTGAATAAGGGTCAGTGTGTGACGAAGTATTACCGTTGGATGCAGAAGAACGGAGGATATATCTGGATACAGTCTAGTGCCACCATAGCTATCAATGCCAAGAATGCAAATGAAAAGAACATCATCTGGGTGAATTATCTCCTTAGGTATATTTTCTCCTTGTTTTATTTCTGTCTCAATTATAAACTGTGCAGCCCTATAGTTAATAGCTGGCATGTTGTAGAAAGTATTATCTTTAGATGTTACTTGGTATGGAATTTCATGGAAGTTCTGCTCTTCGTTCCAAGAGAGTCAAAGAAATGTAAGATCAAACTTTTGCAAGGATCTTGCAGAGAAGATTTGCAAGATGCTCAGTAATTCTTAGATTGTCAACATATGATCAGCTCCAAAAGGTTGCTTTATCTCCTCACAAATGCTCAGACCAGAAAGACTATGGACCTTTGTCTGCAACTGAAGCATTAAAAAAGCACCTCCTTACCATCTACCACATACTCCCAGCCTTGTGAAAATTAAGCTCAAAAGGAGATGCCGGGAGAAGTAGCAGGGTAGAATATATTCCTCTTGTATTTCATCCTTTTGATGCTCTCAGCCTATTTCAGAGCATATGATTCTCTAGATATTGAGGTAAAGTGAGTGGCTTTGCCAGAATAATAACAATCTCAGTATTAAAAAAATGAAGACAATCTTTTGCCTACTGCTCTGTGAACTCAGGAAAGCTTTACTGCTCTTACAATGTATCCTCAAATTTATATCCATGTATGAGTTCAAGGTCAATTTCCTCCTAAATTCTGGTATGAGACACCTTTTCTTTCTCTTTCCCTATCTACACTCTGCTTTTGGATTCAAGCAAGTGGAAAAGGAACCAGGATCAACAGTCAGGGTGGTCTGGGTTTGGGGGAAAAGCCTTCTGGGAGATGCTCTAATCCTATCACATGAAGCTATCACAATGCTTGGCTTGGCTCTCTGCCACCACTGTCATTCCAGTCTTTGGCTCTAAAGCCACCAAGCAGGGCCCACATATGGTTTGAGGAGAAAACATCCAATAGGTCTAATGAGCAGAAGTTGGTGCCCTGTGTGGATAATGTTGATTGGGACTATCTGAATCCCCATTTTTGTTTGAGACAGCCAACTACACCTGAGATGCTAACAACCATGGCTCACCAGCATGCTGGCCTGTCAGTGTTTCACATACTTTGGTGATGACTTGAAGGCATGAATGTGCTTGCTTCCAAAGACATTAGTGTCAATCAGACACTAATGATTATTGCTCTAGAGAGGGCCTTAATGGGTACCACTTAAAAGAATCTTCATTTATCTACTTTCTTTTCCTTTTTTGACCTTTGCTGCTCTGTATTAATTCCCTCTAAAAGTAAAAGTATGTGTATTTAATGCCATTTTCTCCAAGACTTGATTTTTCATGCAAACTATCCCCTTGGAATGTTATAAAAGCTTTTATGACAAACAGAAAATAGAACAAGGTATTGTGGGATTGACATTCTTTTGGCTGAGCAAAAATGGTGCTGTGCCAATGACACCCACTACTATTAAGAAATAAACATTGATGACAAGAACATTATAGGCTGGAAAGTGTCTGTCTTCCATGTCAACATAAGGTACTAAAAGTCATCTATATGGTTGTTATGCCCATTCTATGAGATATTTTTCTATCTAAATCTTTCCTACTGTATCATCAGCCTCATGACTTCCTATTCTGTCCACAAATGGAAGGAGTAAGAAGGGTTAGGAAAAGTCAATCTATACAACCTTGGATCAACACCATTGATCTAGCCAAAAGTCAAATGGTACATAAACCTTTGGTAATTCTGTTCCACTGAATTCCATATGGATAGGGGGCAGTTTGAGTATCATAGACTACGCTTCAAGCTTCAGAGCCTGAGTCTCAGATGTGGCAGACCTACCCTGAGGTTGATGATATGAGACAGTAAGCTGAAGGACACTGACCCTTGAACTCCCATGGTATCTGGAGTAAAGAACACTGATGTTGATGGATTTTTAGCAGAGGAAATTCCACCAAGCCAGCACCCATGAAGGTCATTCTGTAGGCTGGAGATCTACTTAGAAAAGGACGTTGCCTAGACAAAATAGCAACTACTGAAGTTTGGCTTTCTTTCCCAAATTCTGATCTTTTGTTCTTTCCCAAGCAATACTTTCCTACTGTCTTTTTTTCCAGAATCCCTTACTTCTGGGCCCAATCCTGGCTCATCCTTCTCTATTCTGAAATTACCTGCCTAATATTCTTCCCATGGATTAGAATTATAGACTCAGAGTATTCAGAGACAGCAAAGTGCTAAGTCCACCTTCCTTCCATTAGTCTCATCTGATTATCAGGAGAAAGCTTTGCTGCTGAAGCTAATTCACACTAAGGAGTAAATGCCTGATAATCCATCTTTGTGAATTAATTCTCCCAGGGACATCTGCAGTTTTAAAAGTAGTTACTGAAATAGTGACTCTTTAACATAGGAAATTCACTACAGGCTAGCAAAACAAATCAGTAATCATCTGTTGTAAGTCTCTGCTTGGCTGGCCATCCAGGAAGGATAGAAGAGGCATTTCCTGTTCCAAGGCAGGATGCCTCGGTGTGCCTTCAGATTTCAGCAGCCTATGTTGCTCATACACTTTCAGGCCAGCTGGAAGTGGCTTTTCCAGAAGACAACTAGCTCTCGAACTGACCGAACATGCTCTCTTTTCCAGAAGAGGCTTGTTTCTGAATTAAAAATAGACCAAAAATTAAGCACATTTGTGCAAATGGGGTTAGATCCATTCTGTTAGGGCCTCTCTCACACTGGGACTCTCCCCACTGCAATCAGATTCCCAGCTAACAAGCCACAGGTGTACACCACATGAGCAGATGAAAATGTGATTGTAATGGGTGTGTTGACAGTTCAGTAGCCATAATCCATGCATCCCAAGGTACACCTGTGCATCTGTCAGATCGTTAGGCACTGAAGATTCTGCCCCCCACCCCCAGCAATAGCTTTGGAACTATCTGAACAGCTGAGAAGTTACATCAAGGGGCCAAGACAAGGGTACTGAGGCAATGGACTCATTAAGAGCCCAAGAGAAGGTAGGGCACACCAGGAGGTATGGGAATGAATTGTTGAGAGTACTTCTCATCCTCCCAGCCCCCCAGGGGTTATACTGGGAGGAATGTCAAGCAGCACAGTTCCCTGGCCTCCAGTGGTACCTGATTATTTAAAAGGTTTTTAGTGGCTTTGTTGCAGCATTTTGGGTATTCAATCATTGTCGCAGGGTGCACCTGTACCCTGGCTCATGCAATCCAGGCTTCTTTAAAAGTCCCATTCTTTAAAAGAGCTGAGAATGATTTCCTCTTTAGTCTCCTAAACTTTCTAAACTCCACAAGTTTGGGAGAAGGTGGTACAAAGCAAACCATGCAGAAAAGGTGACTGCACTCCTGAGGAATGTCTCCCTCCCCCACAGTAATCCTGAATACAAGGACACGCCCATGGACATCGCACAGCTCCCCCACCTGCCAGAGAAAACTTCTGAATCCTCTGAGACATCCGACTCTGAATCAGACTCTAAAGACACCTCAGGTATTACAGGTATTACTTCTCCTCCATGTTCTATAGTTATGACTGCCTTGTCGGAAAGGAAGGGTGGGCAGTAGCCAAGGGCCATGGTCAAAGCCAAGTAACACATTTAAATTTTAAATGTGCACATCAAGTTATTACTGAGTCTTCTCTCTCTACACACACAAATGCTTATATTTACATTGTGTATAAATATGTGTGTGTATGTTGTGATATATATGTGAGAGTGTGTGTGTATGTGTGTATATAATAACATAAACATACAGAGAGCAAGAGACTGATTTAGCAATCACTTATGTAATGTTAGACCTTCCTTGACCATGTAGAGGAGCTATGCTATAACCCCATAGTGTTGTGACCTCTTTACTGGAAGCAGGCACTAGAGAGCTACCTCCAAGAGTATCCCTACAAGTTGGGATTAAACTCCTAAAGTAGGATACTTTTTTTTTTTTGAGAGAGAGAGAGAATTTTAATATTTATTTTTTAGTTTTTGGCGGACACAACATCTTTGTTTGTATGTGGTGCTGAGGATCGAACCCGCCACACGCGTGCCAGGCGAGCTCGCTACCGCTTGAGCCATATCCCCAGCCCCTAAAGTAGGATACTTAATGGCATCTATAAATGCCTGTCACGCTGTTAGAATATTACTTATTTTCTTTTTGTTTGTTGATGCTGTTTTTGTTTTTTGTTTTTTTTCTTGGTACTGGGGATTGAACTCAGGGTTACTTTACCACTGAGCTACATCCCCAGTCCTTTTTATTTTTAATGTTAAGATGGGGGTCTCAGTAAATTGCTGAGTCTTAGTAAATTGGCAAGGCTGGGCTCAAACTTGCAATCCTCCTGGTCAGCCTCCCGAGTCACAGGGATTACAGGCATGGGCCAGGACACACCTGGTCTGTTACTCATTTTCTCAATTATCAGAACAAATCCATGCTTTCCCCTTTCTAGGCATTTTGACAAGCAGACTTTGCAAGTAGTTACTTGGAGTTCAGGAAAATTAATGCAAAAATTTGCTTTTCCTCCTATTCCCAATTCCATTCCACAGACGTACGAGAGCCAGGGAGCACAGAACTTGCAAATTTTTATAGCTGCAAAAAAATTGCTAAACCTTTTCTAACGCCATCTCTTCTGCTACAAAAAAGGGAAGTGAAGGCCAGAGAGTTACATGATTTGCCCAATGTTCTAATCCCAACCACATCCAAAATGGTCATGGCAAAGTGGTAAAAATCAGTATCATCCTTGAATCTTCTAAGACTGTTTTTACTGGTACAATCTAATCTTCCTAAAATGTGGCAGGTTATTAGAGTTCCCCCACACCCCCTATCATCAGGGCACCTGTGCTCCAAGTTTATCAACTGGAATGCCTGTACTTTAGACAGAGCCTTGGAAAAGCAAGAGAAAGTGAAGAGTACTCATGGAGAATCTTGATTGTTTTCCTACCTCTAAATTGATTTGAAAGTTCTTTACTATGGCAGAAGTTCTAGAATAGTCTCTGCTCTTATTTATAACAGTGAACAAACAGACAAAAATCCCCTACCACCATAGGGCTTATATTCTAGATGGGGGAAGAAATAGAAGCAAATAAAGTCATACAGTGAATCAGATGGTGAATCCTAAGTGCTATGGATAAAAATAATTTAATAGAACAGAGTGTAGTTTTCAATAATGAACAAAAATATTCACCAGCGTAAGGTGCAGACCTCTCAAAGTGTCACTTTGTATGCCTTCATTTTTCTTTGATACTAGCACCTCATTCCAGGTTACTCATTCCCTGGGTATCATTATAGGGCTTCTCAAACTATAATATGCCTTAGAATCTCCTGAGGAGCTTGTTCAAATGCAGTACATGATTCAGTGGGTCCAAAAGGGGCTGAGATTCTTCCTTTGTACCAGGTGTCCAGGTGAGGCCCATGTTGCTAGCCCATGCCCACCCTCCAAGAAAACTTCCGCTAATCTAGGCCCTCAACACAGAAAGTCCAGGCTTTAAGTCACCAGAAGATGGTGCCTTCCCTGCCCCACTGTGGTTTCTGCCCTGCTAACGGGATGTTCTCTCTGTCTCTCCTTTCCCCGCACCCACCCTGTCACCCCGGCCGCTGGCCCCACGCAGAGGACAACGAGAACTCCAAGTCCGATGAGAAGGGGAATCAGTCCGAGAACAGCGAAGACCCAGAGCCCGACCGGAAGAAGTCAGGCAACGCGTGCGACAACGACATGAACTGCAACGACGACGGCCACAGCTCCAGCAACCCGGACAGCCGCGACAGCGACGACAGCTTCGAGCACTCGGACTTTGAAAACCCTAAGGCAGCAGAGGACGGCTTCGGTGCACTGGGCCCTATGCAGATCAAAGTGGAGCGCTACGTGGAGAGCGAGTCGGACCTGCGGCTGCAGAACTGCGAGTCGCTCACGTCCGACAGCGCCAAGGACTCGGACAGCGCCGGCGAGGCGGGCGCGCAGGCCTCCAGCAAGCATCAGAAGCGCAAGAAGAGGCGGAAACGGCAGAAGGGCGGCAGCGCCAGTCGCCGGCGCCTGTCCAGTGCGTCGAGCCCCGGCGGCCTGGACGCAGGCTTGGTGGAGCCCCCGCGGCTGCTGTCCTCCCCCCACAGTGCCTCGGTGCTCAAGATCAAGACAGAGATCTCGGAACCTATCAACTTCGATAACGACAGCAGCATCTGGAACTACCCACCCAACCGGGAGATCTCCAGGAACGAGTCTCCTTACAGCATGACCAAGCCCCCAAGCTCCGAGCACTTCCCGTCCCCGCAGGGCGGCGGGGGCGGCGGGGGGCTGCACGTGGCCATCCCGGACTCAGTCCTCACCCCGCCGGGCGCCGACGGCGCGGCTGCCCGCAAGACTCAATTCAGCACCTCGGCCACCACGGCCTTGGCCCCTGTCGCCTCCGATCCGCTGTCGCCCCCGCTCTCGGCGTCCCCGCGGGACAAGCACCCCGGGGGCGGCGGCAGCGGCAGCGGCGGTGGCAGCAGTGGGGGTCCGAGCGCGTCCAACTCCTTGCTGTACACTGGGGACCTGGAGGCGCTGCAGAGGTTGCAGGCGGGCAACGTCGTGCTCCCGCTGGTGCACCGGGTGACCGGGACCCTGGCCGCCACCAGCACGGCGGCACAGAGGGTCTACACCACGGGCACCATCCGCTATGCTCCCGCCGAGGTGACCCTGGCCATGCAGGGCAACCTGCTGCCCAACGCGCACGCTGTTAACTTCGTGGACGTTAACAGCCCCGGCTTCGGCCTCGACCCCAAGACGCCCATGGAGATGCTCTACCACCACGTGCACCGGCTCAACATGTCGGGACCGTTTGGCGGCGCCGTGAGCGCGGCCAGCCTGACGCAGATGCCCGCTGGCAACGTGTTCACCACGGCCGAGGGACTCTTCTCCACGCTGCCCTTCCCGGTCTACAGCAACGGCATCCACGCGGCACAGACTCTGGAGCGCAAGGAGGACTGAGGCGCCGCCCCCCCCCCCGGGGGTGCGCAGGGTCCGCTCGGAGGAGGCATCGTTGGCGTTTTTCGTTTAGACCTTTAATTCTAGCACTTTGAATTCGAGCAGGTCAGCGTCTTCTTTCAACACGATGGTCCCCATTCCATCCCCTCTTTCTTTAACGTGACTTATTCTTTCCTGTAAAGATATGTTTATTTTTTTGCCTTCAGAGGGTCAGATGACCAGTTGCCTGCCATTTTGTCTTCTTCTAAGATGTGTGTTGGGTTGTTTTGCTTTCCTTTGCATCTTTATTAAGATGTCTTTAATGTGTATATGCCTCTGCCATAGAATACTCAGTCTTGTGGTCAAGAGATTTCTCAAGTGACAACCATTGGGTTTTCTTCATAAAGATCTTGATATGATCAAGATGGAAAGAGACAAGCATAAACAATGTGCCCTGTTTGACTAAGTCAAATGAAATGGGGTGGGTTTTTTTGTTGTTGTTTCTGTTCCTAATTCCTTTAAAAATAGGGAAATAGTATTTTAGAATTTTATGCAGAATTTAATTCTCTTTTTATGGTTAAGATTTTAAGATTTTTCTTACTTGCACATAAAAATAATTTGGGTTCTTAAACTTAATTTCTGGCCTGTGACTAGAATGTTTAAAAAAAAAAGTTGGACTAAATGTTAATTACTGAAACATTAACTTAATTTCTAAAACCATGGTGCTATCATTTATTAATCTGTAATGTCTTCATACAAAATGCAGCTCCTGGGCTGGGTTTTGGGGAAAAAAATGTGTTCTGTCCTGGTCTGGAGTCCCGTTGCTGCAGTCTCCTTGGTTAGTTAAGACAAAGCCCTCATTAACATTTGCTGCAGGACTTAAAGTTTTTTACCTCCCAACTAACAAACATAGCCTCACATTAAATTTAATGGGTCAGTAAAGCCCTTTTAAAGGGGGGGCTTTTGAAAAACTCAATCAAACTGATTTGAGGAGCAGTTTAGGTACATACTGCCTTTTATTGAGCTTTTTATTTCCCCCTTACTCAGTCTAACTGAGGCTAATTTTGCAACTTCAATAACACTTCAGAGTAAAGGAAGGAAAAGTATTTAACATGTTTTTGGTTTGTTTCATTTCTTGCTGAAAAAAAAAAGGTTTGTATTTTGGGGGACTGACTTGATGGAATTTATTTCCCTTGGTTCTAATTTCTAAGTTGAAACCAATAAGTTTTAAAACTAAAGAATGGGTTAATAAGCTTCAGACAGATAACTGCAACTGAAAACTGCACATTAAGTTAAAAAAGGAAAAAAAAAAGAAAAAGAAAAAGAAAAAAATATCCTATTTTGTCTTTGTTGCCAGAAATCAGTGTGGTGTCAAACACTCCAAATGACTGTCTAGTATAAATTCTTCTTCCACTTCATTTTTGGCAGCTGTTTGTTAAGGCATCTAATAACAGATGTGAGAACTGTAATGTGTACGGTGTGTACGTGTCCTTGGCTGTCAGTCCCATTGCAGTTTCAATGTGTGTTTCTATATGCAGTATATACTAAGCTAATGTAGTTGTTTTGTCCTTTGTCTTCTCTGTGCTCTATCTCTAGTCCGGAGTGGTACAGTCCCATTCCTGCAGTCCTAGTGAATCAGTGATTCTTGGGGGTTAGTGGTTTTTGTGTGGTGGCCTTCCTCTGTAATGTCACCCTATACTGCTTCTACTGTCTGTGAATCCTCCGTTTTACTTTTTTAAATTCCTGCTGTTGCTTTGCTGGTGTATATTCTCCCTATCTCTCCTTTCTTTCCCTCCCTTTCCTGTCTCCCTTTTCCCCTCCTCTGCTTTCCTTCCCCTGTTCCCAAAATCTTTTTCATTCTCAGAGATAAAAAGACTCTTAACTAGCTCAAGGTTAATGGAGCCATTTTCCCACAACGGAATTCTGGGTATGACTCTCTCTCTTTCTCTCTCTCTCTCTCTTCTGGAGTGCTACGCAAAGCACTGAAGAATAATGCTCAGATATATTAAATAAATCGATGCCATACAGCCTCAGTTGTTAACATTCCCAGAGTCCCTTGTGCTCTACCTATAAGCAGTGGGTGCTTTTCTTTGGTTTCCTTTCAGGTTGGCTGATGGAGCAATATATAAAGCAATTACCAGTGAGACAGAAAATTATTTCAAAGGTCAACCAACATTTTTAAAAAACAAAATGGGAGGGGGTAATGGAATATAGAATTGTCATATATATTTGTTTATTCGTGCAATGCTAATATAGTAACTCGGCTGTCCTTTGAATATCACTGTGTTGAGTGGATTCCTCTCGAACCTTTGATTCTGTGAGTTGGGCCCAAGCCATGCTGGAATAATAGCAGAAGGAAGTTAAATGCCACAACTTTTAGTAGTGAACTTCCCTGAAGGACTTAGGTGGTGTAGAAGGTGAAGAAGGCCGATCGAGAAATTTAAAGATTAATTTTGGAAGCTCTACTCTAGCTATTGAACAATCAAAGGAATGCACCTATCAGCTACAAAGAACAGCTAGACAGCTGTTTTATTTTTTCTTTTATAAATGTTTCTGTGTTGTGTCAAAATGATTTCTGGTGATTTAAACTAACAGATAATCACAGCTGCTGTCTAAATCCATAGTGTTTAAAATTACAAAATGAAAAAAAAAAACACTTCATTACCTGTGAAGACTGTGTCTGTGTTTTTAACTATTTCTTGTACAAATATATGAAAACTTTTATGAGGAGACTGGTGCCAAGTAGCTGAATAATGGGGAAAGGGATATTCTGTTCGTAAAAAATCTTAGCAGTGTTACCAACTCTACGATATATATAAAAAAATAATTAAAACGTTACAAAGCGACAGCGATGGTACATTTGTTTTGTGTGAAGCTAACCGGACCTAACTTCCTGAGTGCCTGGCTTATTTTGAAACATTTTTTTTTCATTGACCATTGATAATGCTGCAAATCAGAAATGTACATACTTCATTTACAACAGGGTTCTTTTTATACTTTTGTAGATTCTCATACATGTCACATACATGGTTGTCTTTTATGTAACTTAATTTTTTCATCCGCAGGTGCCATTTTCATAATAAACTTCTCTTGGATTTGTTACTATCTGGCATCATTTCTTTTACATGTAACCATCCTAACTAATGAATGCTGGTAGTATTTGTTTAAGCAGGTACCTTGGTCATTATTCTCTATCTTTTAAAAAAAAAAAAAGTTTTTAAAAAAATGCATCCTTATTTTTGCTAGTTTTGGAAAAAAAAAAAATACCTAGCTTGTGTACTGATGAGGCTGACAAGGCACAGATTAAGATGCTAATCCAAATACTACACGGAACTTGCAACCATCCTAAATTTTCAGCTACCCCAACTCATTGTCATACTGAGCATTATTATGCACATTGTCAAAGCTGAACAATGGGCCTGCGACATTAACCACTATGTGAAGCGTGCATTTTTTCTTGATTAATGCACCTTAAGTGATGACAGTTTTCATACATTAATCATTTAAAATGCACTCGATATTTTCATTTATTACAACTTATATAACCAACTGTTCCATTGCTTATATCTTCTCTTTATACTAAATATTTATTTTCTTTCTCCAGACAGGCTGAGTCATGTTGTGCTGTGTTATGGTTAGGTCCGTAGGTGGCCTGTCCCATTTCAAGGCAGATTATCTGCTAACTCTTCTTTTAAAAAGTGTCAACTGTTACCTCAAAGTTAAGGGTAAGATGGGTCACCTGTTAAGTCTGTGCTCTCCAAAAAAATGAAGATATGTAAATGATTGAGCTTTTTAAAAAAAGAAGAGACAGACTCTTTTGTCCAAAAGCTACAAACAATAGTAAATATCTTCCTAGTTTAAGTCTTCAGTGACAGTGGCCAACTGAGGGGCAGTTGTTAATAGTGGAGGGGAAGTGTGGTTAGGGTTGTGGGGCCCTAGATTTCTCTATTGTGCCCTGAGTGAGTTCTTGATATAGGTACACAACAATAGCGAACATGGAGCAAGTGACTGAGAATACAGAACTGAGCTCACCCAACTATCTTTTATAAAATTTCTCTATCCCAAGCTCCTGAGAGTCAGAGGATACAGTATAGCAAGACTGAGAAGTCAAAATTTGGTGACGTTAGAAACTCAATCCTGAACAGATGAAGTTGAGTGAGGAGGCCAGTTTACCCGAGGTGCTCTCTGGGTGTTGGTGGAACTGCTGTTAGTGACAGCTCTTGGGGCTTTGCATAGGGCAGGGTCCTGTCAAGGCAGAGGGGCAATTGTAGGAGTGTGAGAGTAGATGATAGTGATGGTCAGCAATAACACTTTACTTCTGGATATTCATTCAGCCCTGGGATCCCAGGATAGCAGTAATGAGGGCTGACATGGGCAAGCTAGGCATGGTGGGTTAATTGAAATCCTCAATGTTTGGAGCTCCTACAAGTTGAAGTGGAAAAAATCCTGGATTCCTACCCAAGCTCAAGCCTCCCTTTGCATCAATAGTTCCCTTTTATGTGTACCCATCAATACTAAAATGGATCACTAATGAAATAAAAAACATCTCTCAGCCAGAAAGTGTGAATGAGCTCTGGGATCAGACCCACAGATAATCAGGAAACCATGCCACTTCTCCAGCCCCAGGGCTGGCAACCAAGCCAGAGTCCCCAGTTCCCCAGAACCACAGGACCTTTCTCTCTTGCCTGGCTGTCAGCAAGTCAACTTGTCAAGACTCCAATTTACAGGTGAAGAACAGAACAGGGGTCAGCAACCCGCTCTCTATACCTCCTCCCCTCACCCTCCCAGCCGATACTGATGTAGTTTATTTGGCAGTAAATAACAAGAAAAAATTTTAAGTAAAATCAGCAGTCACAACAAGAGGGAAGATATGCACTCAGCTGAGCATTAAAAAAAACTGGTTTCAGTCCTAGTAGATTGTAATTCTTGCCCTCTTTCTCCTACTCCTAGGGGAATAGTCCCCTATTTACATTGAGAATGTTTAATGCAACTTGAACTCAATTTGGCCTATGCATTGCATTGAAGGTAGGAGGTAAGGTGTATTAAGCACAGAAGATAGTCTTCATGCCAAGATTATTATCCAGTTTCAAAAAGTAGAAAGAGTGAGGGACTTGGCAAAGAAAGAAAAGTTATCTTTGCCAACTCTTCAATCACATAGTGGAATAAAAAGACAAATCTTGTTCTGGAGTATGATTCTGAAAAGCCGATGACAACTAGCAGAGTTAAGAAACCCTTCTGGGACACTAAGGTAAGCCAACATCCTTAGCCCACTTCTGCTTGCTTGTGTCTCCTAAGAAGCCACTATAAAGAGGGGCTGACCTGGTAAACTCCAGGGGCATGAATCATTGACTCCTCATCTTCATGTCCATCCATAATGCCAAGCTCAGTGATTTACCAAGATCTGCTGAATAACAACAATGAACGAAGACATGTAGAAAAAGAAAAAAAAAAATCAAGAAGCAGCGATTCCACTGGAAATGTTTCTATGGTTTGGCAAGCTAGCTTGAGTTTTTATTAAAAATGAATATCAGAAGGGATAAAGCAGCAAGTTCCTTCATTCCTGCCTCCTTGGGCAATCCACATGGCTGGCAATGTTGCCCAGAGAGAGATGTTGGAGTATATTGGGTGTGTGTCCACAATCCTTGCCTATTTATATATAGTAATAGTTTAGGTAAATCAAAGGGAGAGGAAGAAGAGAGAACCTAAGCCAGTAATAAATAAACTATGATTTAATAAACTATGACATTGTCTCCTGTGTAAACAGATCTCAGATCTTAGATCCAAAAGTATAACTTACTACTTTATTCTCACAGACGAGCATTAAGCTGTATAGTCTTTCAGAGAATCTCAACAAAGAGGAACCCTCTCATGTATAAGTCACATTTTAATTGTTTTAGCATTGAGGGTCTTTCTAGCCCACTGTTGAATGATTACAATTTTAGAAGGTATTGAGCTGATATCTATCTACCTCTGGAGTTAAATGAACGAAATCATCTTCCATCTGAACATCCTTCAAAGATGTGAATGTAGATACTAGAGTTTCAATAAATTTCTAGACTAAATGTCACTTTTTATTTTAGTTGTTCCCCTAATGACATTATGGCTGTGCTTATATATCCTAGTCACCCTTATTTGAGTGCAGCAGGATTTTTCAAGACCCCTCTATTTGTTTTCTAGGGTTCTTACCCACAAACTGGGTGCCTCACAACAGCATAAATTTCTGGTCTCGCACAGAGAGACCAGAAATCTGAAAGCAAGGTAACAGCAAAGAAGGCTCTAGGGAGGGCCTATTCCGTGCTTCTCTCCTAGTTTCCAGAAGTTACCAGAAATCTTTGACATTTCTTGTAAATGCATCTCTACCTTCATCATCGTATGGCCATCTTCTCCCCATGTCTCACTGTGTTTTCATGTGGAATTCTTTCCCTTGTGTTTCTTTTTTCTCAGGACACCAGTCATATTAGATTAAGGACCCAACATCCAGGTGCAGTGGCACATGCATGTAATTCCAGCAACTTGGGAGGCTGAGAAGAAAGTATTGTTCAAGCCCAGCCTCAGCAGCTTAGCAAGACCCTCAGCAACTTAGTGAGGCCCAATCTCAAACTATAAAAGAGGACTGGAGACATAGCTCAGTGGCAAAGTGTCTGGATTCAATCCCCAGTACCCAAATAAGTAAATAGAAAATAGATTAAGGACCCAACCTACTCCATTATGACCTATTATGACCTTATCTTCAGCAATCGCATCTACAATACCCTATCATGGAAAAAAAAAAAGGAATGGCAATAAGGTCATGTGCTGACATACCAGAGGCTAGGACTCCAACTTTCAGAGGGACACAATTCAATTCATAATAGCCCCTACTAAAATATGATACCTTAGACAAATCACACAGCTGCAGCTGTGATCCAGTATCTACCCAATACAAAGGTCCCAGTCCACCTCTTTTGCAGGACTCAGAGCTCTTAATTAAACCTGTCCTTGACTGCAGTCATTTCTTAGCAGCCAGCTTAAATTGTTATCGCATCTTAAACCACTGGACAATCAGAACGCTTTGGTCTGATTTGTGGAGCTCCCACCCTCCTCTCTGTATATGGTCTTCACATAATGCTGGCCTGTGCCTCAGTGACAAGTCAAGGGAAGAAGTTCACTAGACATGGAATGTGAGCAAGAGCCTGCCTCTTTGAAAACATTTTCCCATTTTCCTTGTATTTCACACAACTATGCTGGAGAGGAGAGACCTAGTATTTGTGGAACCCCAGGACACCAGGCACATGATATACCTGTGACAAACATTGCCAGTGGGATACTGTCATGTAAGTGAACGGAGGCATAGAAAAACCAACCATGAGAAGAAAATGGAAAAAATTATGGAGATAAATTATGGTGTCAGCCATTTTATGGGATCAGAACTGGAGTGGGCAAAATGTCAAGACCTCTGATACATATGGATAAAATCCATTCAAAATTCAAGTAAGAGTTATGAACCAAACTCATTATATTTTCTGAAAATGAGTAGGCCTCCTTTAATTCTCTTTTATGGATCAAAATCAAGGAGACTAGCCCAGATATATTCACTGAAACTTTGTTTGTTTCACCTGGAATTAGAGCTCACAACCCCCAAATTTCCATCTATTGTCTTGTGCTTTGGAGCGGGGGAGGGGGGGACAAGAAATAATTGTTTTTCATTCTTCCATTCACCTCTCCCTATTTGGAATCATGAAACACTGAAAGACCCAGATAATGTTACTATGTTAGAAAAATAAATTTCAGTTTTTGAAAATTATACAAACTATTAAAACCACTTTAAGAGGGGAGAAATGGAGCAGAAGGTAAGGAGGTGGCTCTGCCTGGTACTGAAGGAGTGCTTAGATTTATAGCGGAAATGTCAGAAACAGGATGTAATATCCATGTGACCCCCCCACCTTCCCCAAACAAAACCATTATACCCTTGATGAATTATTGGCTTTAGAGTTTTATCTGTGCCATGAATAATCTCAAAGTTGGGAGTTTCGGGGCACAGTTCATAAACAAATAATTATATCACAATGATAATTTTTCAGGAATTGCAACATCAATCACAGCCATGTTATTATCAAGTACAT